TGAGGACTCTAGATTCATGGGAAGAGAGGGACTGAGAGCTGGTGGCCAGGAGGCAGACTTGTAGAATGTGCCATTTGGTTGTGTAAATTATTAAGTGTTTAAAAAAAAAAAAAAAAAAAAGAGCTAAAAGAGATAGAGAGAAATACTGTTAACTGATGGTACATTGAGGGGAATTATAGTCATTGTAATGAAACAAGGTGTATGATTTGTTGAATGTAAAACTGATGATCTGCCCTGTAAACTTTCACTCAATTTATAATAAAAACATTAAAAAAAAAAAAAAAAAAGTGCATGGACTGCCAGGAGAACAAACAAATCTGTGCTGGAAGAACTAGCCAGAACGTTTTTTAGACGCTAGGATGGCAAGACTTGGCTCTTACACTTTTTCAGACATGTTATCAGGAGGCACCAGGTCCTGGAAAAAGACATCATGCTTGGTCAATAGGAGGGTCAGAGGAAAAAGTTCGTTCTGTCGGGCTTAGTTTCACTATGAGTCGGAGATGATTCGATGCCGTCTAACAACTACAAGTTTTGTTTTCTGGAGTCTGTGGCGCTGTAGGATAATCACTGCGCCACAAGATCGTTGAAGCAGCAACTTGGTGCTTCAAACTCCACCAGCCGCTTCTTGTGGGAAGCGACTTGACAGCACTTTTTTGTGTAAGGTCCATGTAGAGCAGTTACCTTATTTGCCATCTTGACGGAAGGGTAAATCAATGTTTTTTGCATCAACGAAAAACTACATAGGACAACGTTTATCCCTCTACGATGCACACATTTTTATTATTGCATTTACCGTACCAATTCAGAATTAATTTATTACATATCCACGTAGGTTGTGGGGTCTGCTACTTCAGCGTCTATATCAACACGTAACACAGAACAGACATCAAGCACATATTTTAAGAATTGAACCGTAAAACGGAATCAAACTTGTTGTTGTTGTTCTGTGCCGTCCAGTTAGCTCCGATTCATAGCGACCCTGTGTAGGGTTTCCAAGGAGAGGTTGGTGAGCTTGAACCGCCGATCTTGCGGTTCTAACCGAGTTTGCAGTCCAGCGCATTAACCCACAACGACACACCAAAACGCCAACTAAAAGGAACTTAAAGAAAACCACAAGAGCACATGCGCAGTAAATCATCCAATCGCTGTGGTGCCGGACCCAACGATTCGGCGGATTGGTACTGCGCACGCGTGGCAGGATCGCTGCGGTTGGCTGCGCCTAGGCGGGATCCTTGATCTCTTCGGTAGTTGAGGGAAGAGGAGTTTACTGCGTTATTTCTCTGGAATTCGTGGTGGTGAGTTCCTAGAAGGAAGGATTTGGGAGGCTGCGACAACCTGTGGGCTCGTAGGGAACAAACCGGGAAGAGCCACCGGGTCAGGGGCTCGGAAGGGAAGGGAGGCAGGCTGTGGGACGCGGTCTGTCGGAGCCGCTGTCGGAAGCGAGGGATGCTCCCGCTGCTGAACCCCGGGGTGGCTTCCAGCGGAGGCGGAGCTTGAGGTGGGAGCCACCGAGCTAGGAGAAGCCGGGCGGGGCCGGGCCTCCCGGGGCGCTTTGTCCGGAGGCGATTGGGTTTGTTTTGCCCAAATCCGACGAACACAGTGAAGCCAGTTTCCCGGGTCCTGGAGAGAAGGCTCTGTCAGCTCCCAGGATTTTAACGGCGTGTAAACGGTGCCTTCTTTAGGGACATCAACCTTTTCACTGCTCAGCGCTTTCTTATGGAAGAGTTTGTAGGTAGGTTATAGCGGGACCAACAAGTCAAAGGACCAACTTAACCCATGAAGTGAAATAGTTGGTAAGTGCTATCAAGTTGGTTTCGCCTCATAGCGACCCTGTAGAGTTTCCAAAGAGCGGATGATAGGTTTGAAGCGCCGCCCCTTGGCTTATAGCACCACACCTGGACTCTTTATGTTGTTGTTGTGGTTGTTAAGTGCCTTCAAGTCGGTTTCGATTCATAGAGAGTCTGTATATCGATTCATAGAGAGTCTATGTATCGATTCATAGAGAGTCTGTGTAGTTTCCGAGAAGGGGCTGGTGAATTAGAACCTCCACTCCTACCTTGTCGTTCAGACGGGCTTTGCGGTCCAGTGCCTTATCCCTCAGTGCCACACCAGGACTCCATAGCGACCCATAGCGACCGAGGAGCAGCTGGTGAGCTTGAACCGCCAATCTTGTAGTTCAAACGGCTTACTAATCTGGCGCATTAACACACAGCGCCACACTAGGACTCCTTATGTTGTTGTTGTTAAGTACCATGGAGTCGGTTCTGACTCACAGTGACCCTGTACAGGGTTTCGGAGGAACGACTATCAAATACAAGTGTAGTTGCATAGTGAAAATCAGAAACAGCAGAGCGGAATCTGTTTATAATTTTTGGAAGAGTTGTTTTATTTGCATTCTTACATATTGAATGAAATTGTTGTACCTTTGCCTCTTAAAGTCTAAGTGAACCCAAAGTTTCTGTTTGCTTTTGTTGAAGTACACAGTCTACCCACCATCTTCCTCTTAGAAAATTCATCATCACTACTTTCAGGGTACCTTACATACTCAAAACCCAAACCAAAGCCATTGCCATCAGTCGGCCCTGACTCATAGTGACCCTGTAAAGGATTTCCGGGAGCAGAAAGCGTAATTTTTCTCCGTAGGAGCAGCTGGTAGGTTTGAACTGCTGACCTTGCAGTTAGCAGTCTAGTGCTATGGCACCACCGGAGCATCCAATAATCATAGCTACGGATGGTAATTTGACAGATAACATTGAGTTATATAAGTGCCTTACATAATACATATGAATCCATATCATAACTCTCCCAGCAGTCCTATGAGTAAGGATGATTACTGGATTCCCTTTGAAAGATGAGGATGCAGACCAAGGAGGTTAAGTAAACGGCCCAAGATCACATACTAGCAAGTGTTAGTTCAGATTTTTATACTGTCATTTGCCTCTGGAAGTCTTGTGATTGTTCATTGTTTTTTTCAAGTACTTGAGGTTTTCTGATGTTATGCACCTGTTATCTGTTTCATCTGTTTTGTCCTGGTGGAACTAGTAATGTGAAATAGTCAGAAAACCTGGTTCTGATCTCTTGGTGTACATAAAAAATATTACTATTTTGAAAATCAAATTAAATCAAACCCACTGCCTTTGAGTCAATTCTGACTCAGAGTGACCCTATGTAGGGTTTGTGAGACTAAATCTATGGGAAAGCAGAATGCCTCATTTTTCTCGCAAGGAGTGGGTGTAGACCTTGAGGTTAATAGTCCAGTGCTTACCCTATAGTGCCATCAGGGCTCCTTTTGAAAGGGAATATTGTTAAGTGCTGTTGAGTCAATTCTGACTCAAGAGTGACTCTGTGTATGGTTTCTGAGGAGTAGTTGTTGGGTTTGAACCACTGACCTGTGGTTAGCTGTCTAGTGCTTGTCTACAGTACCACACCAGGACTCCTTGAAAGGGAATGTTTGTTATTAAGTGTTGTAGAGTCGATTCTGACTTAGAGTGAACCTGTATAACGTTTTGTTGTTGTTAAGTGCCGGCAAGTTGATTCCAACTCAGTGATCTTATCCTATATATGGTTTCCGAAGAGTAGCTGATGGGTTTGAACTGCCTACCTTGTGGTTTGAAGTCCACTGCAGATCTAGCAGTACCAAACCAGAAGTCTGTATAGGGTTTAGGTAGTAAAAGAGAAATTGAATTATAAATGTGTTCTTTGAATTGCTGGGATTCATTAAAAAAATGCATGTATATATATATATATATATATACACATTAGTGTTTATATGTGTCTGGTGTTGTAGTTAGTGCTGCTCTGGGTTAGTGGAATGAAGAAAAGCATTATACTTGATTTATGAATAATTGTGTTTCCTTGTATTTACAAATTGTGACTATATCATTTTATTAATCTTCAGTGTCAGAAAAAAATTGGTGTAGTACAAGTTCTAGTTTATATACCATTCAGCTCAATTTATAAATTGCCCTTTATGATAAAAAATAAAATAATTAGCTAAATAATGTGTTTTCTAAGACTTGTTGTTGTTGTTAGGCGCCATCGAGTCAGTGCCGACTCATAGCAACCCTATGCACAGCAGAATGAAACTCTGGCTGATCCTGGGCCAGTCTCACTACTGTTGCCACGCTTGAGTCCATCAGTGCTGCCACTTTGCCAATCCATCTTGCTGGGGGTCTTCCTCTTTTTGTCTGACTCTCCACCTTACCAAACATGATATCCTTCTCCAGTGACTGGTCCTTCCTGACAATATATCCGAAGTATGAGAGACAAAGTTTGGCCATCCTGGCCTCAATGGAGCACTCGCTGCACTTCTTCCAAAACAGATCTGTTGGTTCTTTTGGCAGCCCATGGCACTTTGAATATTCTCCTCCAACACCGTAACTCAAAAGCATCAGTTCTTCTGCGGTCTTCCTTATTCACTGTCCAGCTTTCACATGAAAATACCATAGTTGGGTCAGGCGCTGACATCTTTGCTCTTCAACACTTTAAAAAGATCTTGTGCAACAGATTTGCCTAATGCAATATACGTCGTTTGATTTCTTGACTGCTGCTTCTATGAGTGTTGATAGTTGATTCAAGAAGAATGAAGTCCTTGACAACTTCCATCTTTTCTC